CGATTTGAATGAGCACAAACGGATATCATGTCTTTCCCAGGGTGTTTGTGCATGTGTGTGTATGTTGTCCAAAGTAAGTAGCATATAAGTGCAATGGGAATCGTTTTAAAACACTCGAAAGCAATTCAGTTTGGGGTTTTTTCTAGAAAGATTATTAGAACAGACGTTTTTCTTGGCGCCAGAGTCTGGCATTTTGTCAGCTTGTGAGGCTACAAAATTATTATGGACTGCCGGCTAAAGCTAATTATGACAAGGAGCATAAGTTCGCCTTGCAGCCTTTATTTTAGATACCTATTTAGTTTGCATCGAGCATTAATATATTTATATAGACTCAGGAGCGAGAAATTAGCACAATTATTGATTGTCTAATTCGATAAAAGTATCCAATTTGAGAGCATTAAAATACTCTCCTTTAAATTATTAACTAGAAAGCTGTTAAAATTGTTCAATCTAAATGAAGCATATTGTGTTATTTAATAAAAAATAAATCAAATGCAGATTTCGTACGCAATTTATGCTCATTTATAAAATCTATTTATTGTTAATTGAATCAATTCCTTTTTATAACGAATACACGCCGCAATACGGTTGGCGTGAAACTTTTAATAAACCATCGTTGGGCCATTGAACCAAGTATCAAACAAATAAATGAAAAAAAATATGCATAAATAAAATATTCGTTAACTTTTCTCACCAGGCTTTTGTTATGTCATGTTCAAACCGAGTTCAGAGCTCAGCCCTTTGAAAGTTCAATAGCAAACATTTAAAAAAAACTCAACTCGCAATAAAGTTGGAAATAACTGTTGTGGGGGAGGGAGTGAGGGGGAAAGGGGGATGGGGTTGAAGTACTCACTGACGAGACTTTTTAATGGGCCGGCTTCAAACTACGTTGGATATCCGTTTCAGACTTTGGCATTGTTGTGCCGTTTGCCCGGGTTTTTGACCGATGTTTCAGATGGGTTTTAACCATGACGTTTGCTAGCCCAAAATTGAAGATGGAGAAGGGGTTGTGGGTCGGGGCGGGGGTGCGGGAGGTGCCACATTCGTGCTGGGCGTTTATTTTATGTCCTCTATTGCACTGTGTTGCACGCAATGTAAATGCTAATTAAGACCCGTTACATGCCACTATCTGGGCGTGGCAAAGTATGTGTGTGTGTGTGTGCTGGTGGGGGAGGGGGGCGTGGGCGTGGGCGTTTTGGACCGTGTTTGCCTCTTAATTGCGTAAACCAAGCGTTTGATTAGTATTTGCACAGCAATTGACATTAAACAGTTCAATCAATAAAAAATTCAAACGGAAGCCGCATGCCACACTCAAGTGTGAGCTCCGGCAAATATTTAATGTCTTAAGGGTTGTCCGAAATGGGGCTGTCATTCCTGTTGCTGTTGTTTTCGCTCCGCAATGACTGGAATATTATTATTAGCACACATCAGAATTCCACAATGGCTCGACTGGGGCTAAAGCGGTCGTTGGCCCCAAAAGTTAAAGAAGTCAGGAACCTCAATTGGGCTGTCAATCAATGCGTCCACTCGCGTCACTTTGTGCCACAATAATAGAGCTATTGATTTTTCGGCTTCCCCTTCCACAATCGCAATGCCTCCTTCCTAATGAGTTTCGGGGCGTGCATTGACATGGGCACGACCCTTGATCGTCTAATTAGCTGACTGTTTGACATTGGCTTCGATTTGACTGCGCGTAACTAAAAATTTTAATGCGACGGCATTCAAAAAATCCAAGATAAATAAACAATTTTTGTGGATTGAGTGAAGGGTAAACACTCAAGTGTATGAAGTAGAGTAAATTCTAGACCTCATTTTCTTTGTGAAAAATTCTACTGAATGTATAATGTTAAATAAGTTTGTCAAAGCTACAATTTGTATTCCCTTCAGTTTCCTGTTATATTTTTGGAAATCAGTATTCACATTTATCCTGTTCCAATATACTTAGAAGAATTTCATTCAAAAGTTCTTGTATTGTAACAATAATATTAATATTTGTAATGTGAAGAATATAATTGAGATATTTAATATATTTTTAGCTTTAATCAAATAATGTTATACTTAAAACACAAGTTAATATTAAGTTTATTACTGAGTCAGCTAGCTGAGTTCCTTTAAGTTCTCATAACAGTGTAGAGCATGACTGTTTCGACTTGATTAGACTTATAAATAGCGCTGCAGTCGGCCACAAGCCTACACTGAAAGCAAAAGGGAGTGAGTCGAACTGCCCTCCAAATTGGTTTCATTTCATGCGCTCAGCTTGAGCTCAAATGTCGACTCGGCGCCACACCAAAACATATTATTTTCAAGCTAAATAAATAAATAAAATATTGCCAGCATTGGAAGATTGCGCTGTTTATGCTGAAGCGGCGCACAAAATGGGAACCACTTGTTGTGCCATTTCGAAAAGAGTTGGCAGTGAGTACAGACTTATTTCTAAATCTATTTAATATAACTATTAAGTATTTTAATTATTAATTTTATTATTATTATTATAATTATATTATCGTTATTATGATAAGCATCATAACATATTATGTATTATATATTATATTATTATTATTAATTATTATAGAATATGTGTTGTTAAGTATATTTATTAAGTTACTTTCTTTCATATTATATCGAACTTATACATTAGTATCTAACAGTCGATTTATATTTGGAACTATTCGACATAGTTTTAAAAGTAAAATCTTAATCGAACATGTTTCTGCTGCCGTCAGTTAGTCAAAATTTCTGGTAAACATACCGCAGGGCTAACAAAACTGCTGTCTTGTGGATCTAAATTTAAAAAAATTGTGATTTGAACAATAGAAGAAAATGTCATTTTAATGAAATATGCGTTTGTTTAAGTCGTAAATGAAAATCATAATTGTGACGTTTGGTTTGCCTGAGTTGGTAAACTGAAACTGACGTCAGATGAAATCTAAGACTTTCAATGCATATCTGAGTCGAGCAGACTCTTGTGCACACGCATACATACATGTTCATTTAATTGTCACTCTTACAAGCGCACACACACAGGCACACACACACACACATACGGGTGGCAGCTACGTTGTGGCAAGTTCGTAACTTGCTTTGCCAGTTGTAAGAAAAAACCAATAATGAAATGGCACTGAGATTGTACTTGTAGCCACATGCAGCATCCTTATGGGGGGTCGGAGGTGTGAGTGTGAGTGAGGGTGAGGGTATGCGTGGGTCGGCTCAGCTGGCCCCTTTATCGATTAGCGCATGTAACTGTTTCTACCTATGAGTGTGTGCACCCACACACACACCTACACCTACAACAACAACAACAACTGCTTGCCCCTTTAACTTATATAAGCTAATGTGGGTTGCAGGCGTACTGTGTGGGGCGGCGGGAGATTTGGGCCTGTACTTTTTGGTGGCACAAAGCAAATGACGCTGGAATGAAAGCAGGAAACGTTGCCGCATTCATTCATTTTACACACAAAAGCCATTAAAACGCTTTGATTCCATTGTTTTGTTTGTCATCATCAACATTAGCGTCAGAGCCGAACGGGGCAACATCAAGGGGGTTGGCCAGATTAAAGGCTTAACAGCTTAAAGGCAAGTCTAACATTTTAGTTTTCTATTAAAAAAGTTACACGGTCGATAAAGAATTCATGGCAATTCAATTATGAACCGGACTAGTTGGATAATGAAGAATCCAAGTTAGTTTTAGTTTTGCATATTTGCTATTTAACATATTAATTAAATACCTGGATAGACACAAGTATGAAGTTGAACTCTTTTCTTTATAGGTTGCATTTAACTTTCTGTCTTACCTATTACATGCTCTTATTATTCTCCGCCCAACTGTGCACTTTCACTCAATATTTCGCTGTTATTGTGGTTGTTCCTGTACCTCAATATTTTTATTATTGAAAGACTTTTGCCTGAGCTGCGGGTTTTTTTATAAAGTGCCTGCGGTATCTGCTCCGCCCTGCTCCCTATGGAGCCACGACCCTCGAACGTCTCGACGTCCGACCGATTCTTGCGGAAAAATCAACATTGCACAAAAGTTTTCATCGCCCGCTGCCAGCTGCCAGCACCACCAAGCAACAGCAGCACCACCTCCACCACAATCAACCAGCATGCTTTTGCACCACACTTTTTTGTTTTGGCTTAGCGTTGATGATGTATGCACTTTGAAAAGAGTTGAGCAAAGTGGTTTTTCGGGTTTGATGAGCTAACGTCAGCCATCTGCACCGCCCAAAAGCCCACCCACCTACCATCGACCCTGGAAATATGAGTGCTCTGTGCTAGTGTGTCTGTGTGTGTGTGTGTGTGTGCGGTGTGCTTGTGTGTGCCCGTTTGTCTATGTGTGCGTGTTTACATTTCGTTGGCTGCATAATAAAGTTATTAATAGACTTCAATGGCGTTTCAATTATGCAATTTCTGCGATTTGAATTTAAATGATATTTTGATTGTTTGCTTTGCCGGTTAGTTTTTCAAAGTTTTTAGCTGAATGAGCGATTAATGTGCAGATTATAAAATTTCCAAGTCCGTTACCATTTTCATAGAAATAAGAGTTTCATTTACATTGAAATAAAAACAAGAAAGTTCGGCTTTCCTTGGCAGAGCACTCCGAATGATTGTTCCAATGAGAGCCCTATACAGATCTGTTGAGTAAGGTTTCGTATATTTATAAAAAGACTAGTTCGGCAAGTAATTGCTAAATTTGGTAAAATAATAATTTCGACCAATTATTCCTCCTTCAGTTATAAAAATGGTTAATCCGTTTTTGGGTTGGTTTTACGCTTTTTCGCAGTTAAATAAACAACTTAGTTTTCTACCAATAATTTCTATAGAAAGTATTTGATATAGTGGCCCAAGCCGACTAATAAGTTGATGTATCAAAGTACATCAAATACATAATGAAATCCTAAAAACATCATAATGATTAAAACACAATGATTAAATTCTGTAAACATAATCATGTTAAACAATGTGGTATACGATATATCGTTTAGCTGTTTGAATAAATACTAAGTTTCAGGGCAGCAAACATGGGCTCTACATAAAAGCTGGGCACACTGTAAAGAACACAAGATAAACGAATTGTCCGAAATTAATTTGATGTAAGTGCATTCCGAACGTAATTAACAATAAGAAAAAGTAGCTCGTTTTATATATTTAGTATGATTTTCAGAAGAAACGTGGCGAAAAGAACAAATATAAATGAAGCATAAAGACCATAAAAGAGTCAAAAAGGCAAAAAAAGATAAGAAACGTTCAAAAACGCACCGAGATGGTTCTAAAAAGTTAAAGAAGAGAGACAAAGAGGCAAAGCACAAGACGGAATCAGGTCCAATAAGCAGCGATCCAGAGCAACAGACCAACAACGACAATAAGCAGCAGACGCAGCCGGTTATGTCCGACTTCGATGTGCTCAGCATCTATGAGGATATATCAAAACTAAGCGCTGTAGAGCGCTATTTGAACATGCTATATCGGTAAGTCACAGCCGACCGATTCATATGCAAGGCGTGTGTTCAAAAGGTTTCGTTTCAGTCCCTTCACGTGCTTCGTGAAAACCAACTGCGAGTTCAAACTCTCCGAGTTGGACTGTTTTCTGTCGGACACGCGCTATGAGCCGGATAAGCACTCGGCTCTGCTCATACGGCTCTCGAGTCCAATATGCAGCTTAAGGCTTTACGATAATGGAAACATCTGCTGCCAGGGCTACTCGTACGACAGCGCCGCCCTGGGCATACATCGCTTTATTGGCACCATGGAGCACCTGGGCTACTCGCCCGTGTTTCAGAATCCCAAGTTTAATGTGGTCAATGCGACATTCTGTATGCCATTTAGCATTCACCTAGAGCAGCTTCATAGGGAATATCATGAGGATTGCTTATACAATCCAGAAACACGCCCATATCTGACATACCAAATACGCAACTCCTCCATTAAATTGGCCATTTTTCACGTAGGCTATGTGTACGTACTTCTGTCCTCCCAGCCGCGCTTCACCCAAAAGGCAATCGCTTTCATAATGCCCATACTCTTTCGACATAGAGCCGCCAATAGGCCCCATGTTGCGGAGTGTAGCAGCGGCGACATCAATTTCAAGTTGCTGTGGGAAAATGAATTCCAGAAGGCATACCAAGGCACTCTTAAATATTCCAGATGAGCAATAACTTTGCTCAACAATGTTGATTCTTTACTGCTGCCGCTGTTGTTGTGATTGCTGTAGTTGTTACTGTTGCATTTTTGCGCTGGCGTTGAAGCCAAACTTTAATTTTCATATATATGAACACCAAAGTTTTCTATATGAGCAAGCATATCCGGTTTATTCTCATAACTGTCGAAATGCAGCGCCCGGAGCACAGGAAACTTATTAGTCGGTTATTTAAATGACAAGAGCCGTTATGCAAACACACACACACACACGCACACACACACACACCAAATTATTTAAATATGTTCATAGCTAATTCCAAGAGAAAACAAAGAAAAATGCTGAAAGCTAAAATTTTATAAGTAAATAAATGAAAATATATTTCTGTTATCACCTTTTTTATACACCCTGTAACCATTGAGAATTGTTAAGAAAAGATCACCTGGTCTTATGCAGGCAGAAGGAGGCATCTCAGACCACACAGTATATGTACTTAATATTTTATCAATCTGAGTCGACTCGGCCATTTCCGTCTTGATATACGAATCGAGCTCGGAAAATCTAAAAGTTAGTCCCGGAATTTGAAAAATACGTTAGATACCATACCATATATCAATATGTGTCTTTTTGTTTATAAAATCGATAAATATCGATTTTGAAACATGATTTCTAAGGCATATCTCGGAGATTATAGGAGTTATAGACATACAATTTGCTATGTATATTCTTGGATGTTTCACATTTTACTTCACATAAAGTGAAGTTAAGGCAAATAGACAAAAGATTATGAGAAATTCGAATGCTTAAACGGCAGCTTGGCGGTTGGTTAAGGGCATCTCCTAGTCGGCCACTGCCGACCAGAGTACTCCTGTTTTTTATTTTTTATGTGAGTTTTTTACAAGTCATTAGCTCCATTTGCTTCCACACACAAATGTCAACCCATTTAAGGGGTCGCGGCGCAAAAACACTAAAAATCACTCACAAATTTACAATGTAAATTCAAAATGCAGCTCATCGAATTCCATGTTTGCATTTGGCAGACATAAAAATGACAGTGACAGGGCTTGCCACAGGGTGGGGCAGGGTGTGTCAGGGTTGGAGTTGGGGCTGGGGTTGAGGCTGAGCTTTCCGAGAGCCACGAGAAACCGGATCGCAGCGCAAATGTGTGAAATGAAATTTGAAACTGTCGTTCGCCCAGTTGCTGGCCATTTCAGACCTATTGCATTTGAATAGTTTTTGTTGGCGTGAAAAACAATTCAGTGCCATATTTGTGTGCACTTGTCGCATTTGTGTTTGTTTTGCGATACACACACCCACCCATGTAGAGTATTCACTGGGTCGGTCTGGCCCAGAGCGATATGGCTGTAGCGGTTACGATATAAGCGGATAATTTTCAATATTTTTGTTTGCAGTTTTTGGTCGCGTTTGGCTGCTTTTGTTTGTATTGAAACATTTTTGAACCGTTGACGGCTTTTCGCGTGTTTTCGCTCTGTTTGAGTGGCTTGTGGGCTATTGGGATTATTCATTAGATTGGCGAATGCCCTGTATACCCTTTTGTTTGTCTTACCTCAGCTCAACAAAATTGAAATTGTAGTTCTCATACTTTCTGGCAGTTAGACTATTGATGCTGAGCTGGGAGCAAATGTGCCATAATTTATCCTGTTACTTACGTTTGCACAAACCATAATAGCCTTTTTCTTACACATTTTCAAAATGTACAGGTTACAGCAACGGTCAATTGCTTACGATAGGTGCTTACAATATCGATATGTTGCTTAAGGCGCGCAAGTGTTATCGATAGTAATTGCTGCTGGTTGTCCTAAACTAAAATCTGCTCTTGTTTGTGTTTCAGTTATAAATTGTTTTATTTGGTGTTTTAATTGTTATCTTGCCTGGCAACCCAGGTGAGTACTCATACGCACAACTATTGTAACTATCTTGATTGGAACAGCAAGAATTCTGGCGTACATTTTTTGCACGAAGCTAGACAAATTCTTGCGTATGTCTCGTTTGCGTTTGGCTTAATGAAAATTGTACTTTTGCATTCAAAAATGTTTGCGCTGTAAGCAAATTAACTATAAAATCATTTTAAACTGCAAACGCAAAAATGCAGAGCTTAAAATGCAGAAAATAATTAATATTGGGTTGTTGTGTGGGTGCTGCCATTTCTAGAGTGACCATGCCATGCTGTTGTTGTTGTGTTACGGCTGTAAGCGGGGTGCCGAGTGACCAAGCATTCATGAAGCTGCTGCTTCTTGTTGTTATTGGAAGGGGCTAGAAATCTGTGTGTGTGTGTGTGTGTGTGTGTGTGTGTATGCCTGCATTTTCATAATTTCTGCACAACAAAAAACGAAGACCACGACAATGGTGCAAAGGGACGAAACGAAGCGCAGCAAATTCCAAAGCAATGGAATTTATGCAGCAAATATTAACTTACCACACACTCACTCACACATAACCAAACACACATACATATACACACACATAAATTGTGTGCAAAATTTCTCATGCAATTCATGTAAAACGCAGCGCAGAGAAAAACCGAAAGCAAAGGCAAAGAGCAAGGGAGAGTAGGTCGCAGCAGCCGTTGCCCAATTTGTGCATGGGCCAGCAAGAACTGACAACAAAACTCATTAGCAGAAGCGGCGACCGTGACCGAGACGGCGAGTATGCCGTTAGAATTGTGGGCAAAGGGCGTGCGAATGCCCGAGGGAGAGTTGGGGGCGTTGCTGCTGGTCAACCGAAGCCAGAACGCAGCATGCACTTTCATTTCTGAAAGTTTTCGCTATTTTATTCATATTTTTGCTGGGCCGCTGCCGCTGCCACTGCTGCACTTTATCTTTCTGTGGCGGTCTTAGTTGGCGAAATTGTGTGCAACCACGAAAATCTAATAAGCGCGCAAATTTGTTGACATTGCGCAAATGTTTTTTACGAGCGTCGCTCGCAAGTCCAAGAGCCTAAGAGCAAAAACTTTGAGCACTGTGCACCCCTCGCTCACCCCTCGCTCAACACTGTACACCGCAGATGTCCATTAAAGAAGGAGAAAGTCGCACCTAAAGCGCAACGGATGAAGCAACTGCAATGACAAAGAGCGATAGACATGCGGTAAATGAGGGAGACTGAGTAAAAGAGAGTGACATAGAGAGGGAGGGAGAGAGCGAAAAAGTGATTGTGAGCGGGAGCTACTGAAAGTACTTGACGCTTTTGACTTTGCTTAGTCTCGCGAGATGTTGCGTAAACTTTTTGGCTTTTGCGCTTTGAAAATAAAAATATAAGAAACAAAAAAAAAACAAAAAGCAACTGAGAACGAAAGCTTGCATCAAAGTCCATCAGGTAGCTGCAGACACATCACAGACACAAAGATGGCGGAGGGACAGTGTTGCCACACCATCAACTGATATGTCAGCGGATAGCCGCAGTCGAGACGAGACAATTTCATTAACCGCGGGGCGAAGGGCAGCAGGCAGCAGGCAGAGGGCAGCAGGCTGCAGGCACGTTAAGTCCAACAGACTTGCCTTTGATTTTATCAGTTAAAGCTTCACTGTACTATATGTACACGAGTATATGTATGTAAATCGGATTCTGCATAATGGACGCGTAAAGTTTTTTAATTATTTTTGTGGTTTTAAATTGCATTTCTTGTGAATCTGTGCAAAAAGGGCGGACGACACGATGTCCGTGCGAGAAAGGGAACCACAAATGCGCCGACTTTATCAGCGCGCCTGGCAATTGTCATCTGTGCGCATGCTGGGGGCGGGAGGGGTGCTTTGTAAAATAAAGGATGAAAGCTCACGTCGAAGTGCGTTTCATTCAGTTAAGGAAAAGTGCAATAACATGTTATTTTATTTCATGTTTTACCAACGTGCATTTCGCTTTCCTCATCATGTCGCCTGTTAACAGCGAGCGGCTTTAAAGCATTCCAGCCCTATTACGCAATTACAAGTGGAATGACACAGGGCGCGCATTTCGCTTTCAGAGTTGCATTTACTTTTCATTATATTATTGAGGCAAATATACGAGTAATTGAAATCACACACTCCACATTTCATTCGGCCGAGCAATATGAAATTCATGGGTAATTGGAATGGATACCATACATAAAGTATAAATGCACGAATTGCAATAAAGGCCTATATACGGTCAAACATTGTTGAATAACAACGACAGGAAATGAAATTAACTCAATTCAAGTATTTTGCACTGAAGCTCAAAAATATGAAAGTGGTATTGTTTTAAATGTGATATTTCAGCTTTAAGATGTACCACAACAAATTGATTTCAAATTGTTTTCATGTCTATTATTATAGACTATACGAGTACTTAATCTAAAAAATATTCAAATCCTCGTTGTTAACAGAAAAAAAAAATCATTTAAGTTATTTTGGGCAGTGTGTAAAATTGTAAATTTATATACAATTCCAATGATAATGTTAATTAAAGTTGAACATGCTTGTGCTGATGGAAGACTTGCTAATTTATTGGCAAAACTATTTTTTACTCAATAAAAACCAATTTCAATTTTGCTAATTAAATATTTATTATTTTGCACTAGTGCATACCGAAAGGCTTTTTCAAGTAGCACAAAATGCTGGCGTTCCACTTGCAAATCAATTAGTTGATATGCTGCTAGCAAAAAGAAAAGAGTGTATAAAGAAAAGTTAGGAAAATTTGCTACCGCCTGTCAAAAGTCGCTGCTAGCAAAAACTTTCTCCCGAGCAAGTACTATGCATTTTATTTAACACTCGGCCAGCGGCATACGCCTTCTAAACATGGCAAGTAAAGTTGTTCCGAGTGCTCACATCAATTTTGCCAAAAAACTGGGTTAGGGATGCCACACACACACGCACACTCACACACACACACACACACTCACACACATGCTTAAATGTTTTCCGACCAAACACGATTTCAATTTGGCTCGTTGATAAACGCCAAAAAATTAATTCAGCTAGCTCACAAAATGCCTCTAGTTTTTATCTGTGTATGTGGTAAAAATATTTTCACTTTTTAGCTGTGATTCCATTTTTGGCTAACACACACACATACATACACACTCATGTGTGTGTGCAGTATTTATGTAAAAATAAAGTTGGCTTTCTTTTGACTGTGCCAGGCACAAAGTTGCACCGGACTCGTCTTCGCCTGCGTCTTCAGGCCCGCCCACTTTCAGCCCCATCATGTGACTTAACTGTACTAAATAGTTTCTCACGTGACTCTTGCACATAAAAAATGGCTTTATTGCTGCACACGTATTCATTAATGGCAGCAATGAACTCACATGTGAATAGAGTGTGGGCTGTGGGCTGTTGTGG